ATTCATATGCTACAATATCTCTTATTCCTGGTTGATCTTTGCAAAGTTGTGATCTATCACTGCAATTTAATGTAATTGTGTAATACAAATTAATCAGATTTCAAATTAATATATCTTACAATCTATCTATCTAATTATGCAAATTAATATCTTATAATCTATCTGTCTAATTATGCAAAAAATATTTTCTAGGTATCTCTGATGTATATGAATATACATCAAACCTTGAAATTTCTACCCATGAGTTGTACAATTCTCTCATTTCACTCGTGGTAGTCTTTATCATTCTACTTATGAAGTTCCAATGCACATAATTCACTGAAACATATTTCCAATTAATATATACGAACGACATTTTGTTCTATTTATGAAACTTACCAATTGTTCGAGTCGACGTCTCATCCAATAAAGAAATAAGACTTGTGAAATAATTTGATGTATGAAGTTCTATATTTAAATCCTCATTCACGGGCTTATTCGCCTCATCAAACAATGCCATGATTTTGTTCTTCCAGTCAATCTGCAGTACTATTCTTTAATTAATTCATTAATCGTATCTTTGTATTTCTATACTGTACTTCTATATGGCAAGACTAATAAGTTTAAGAACTTAAATTTTACTAATTAAAAAACTATTACCTTGCTATTAGTTGTTTTAGGATTTTCTTCGTCATACGTAACTTGAAAATCCTTAAGTGTAGTAGAGACAATGTATTGTTCTCTTTGCAATTCCGGATCTGGAATAATCTGTAAATAACGGATAACAATTGAAATTAAAAAATCATAAATCTCTTCGTTTACTTCTTATATTCCATCTGAAATAACAGCACAATTTTCACCTGAGTCAATTTCAGTTGAAATTCGATCATATCTTTAATATCATTTGTGAGACGTTCTTCTGAAGTATCAATATCCATTCCTTTAGCTATAATATTAGCTACATTTAAAATGTAGTTAGAATACTCTACTATCTTGTCTGCGTTAATTATGTCTTCTGTGTTAATCCATGATGACATTGTGTCTATATTATCTAAAATTTTCTTCGTATTTCTAAATATTTTCTTCAAATGTTTTCTTTGACTTTTCTGAACATGTAATTTCTTGTGAGGATTAACACGTTGCATTTGTTTACTATGAATGTCCGTTGCTTTTGCCCATCTTTTTGTTCTTTGTTTTTTCGTCTTATGGATATTCTGTTTCTTAACAACCTCGTTCTTCTTTGTCTGTCCAATATGCCGTAATTTTTTATTTCTTCTATGAGCAATTTTGCCAGTGATTTTCTTCTTATTTATCCTCTTTTTAATATCATCATCATCATAATAATCATTATCGTCATCATCATCGTCGTCGTCGTCGTCGTCGTCGTCGTCGTCGTCGTCATCGTCATCATCATCATCATCATCATCGTCATTATCATCATCATCATCATCATCATCATCATCATCATTCTCATCGATATCGCTACCACTTCCCTCACCGCAGTTATTACAGTCATTACAGTCATTACAGTCATTACAGTCATCGTCGTCATCATTCTTGTCATTTACGTCGACATTTATGTCAATTTGAAGATCATTTTCGTCTTCATTTTCAGACTCATCTTTACCTTCATTGCTTTGCTTCTCTTCATCACTCGGATCTTCATCGCTTCCACTTTCTCCTTTAGTCTTTTCTTCATTTTCTTCTTCGTTTTGGCTGGTCAACACAGTCCGCAGTTTTTTTGTGCCCGGTGCTAAATGTGGCGTGTCAATCTAAATGTAAAAATTTACACGAAAAGTTTTTTCTTTCACAAATAAAAAACATACCGTTAATTTAATATAAATACATCTTTTTGTAACAAACAGACTTGGAAGTGAATAAATTGCACTAAGTACCTCTACTACTAAAGGATCACCCGAGTCATCCTTTATCCGCACGTCGTAAAGGGTATTACTTCCCGTCAAGCGCATATAGTGATCGTCCACTTTTTGCCAGTTATACTCATTCTCGTCCCAATCATTCGTTAACATCGGCCAGCCACCTAAACGCGTTAGAACAGAAATCAGCGGTTCGATCCCTTGCTTCTCCATTGCATCTGGAAATATTAAATAAAATTATCACACTATAAAATATAATAATTTTTTCTTTGACATTTTAAATATAATGTAATAAACCTTTTTTCTTTGACATTTTAATCATAATAGACGCACTCACCCGTGTCCATGCAAGCCTTGTAAAATTTCTTTGCGAGCTTAACAACTTTGAGATCATCATCCGCAGGTTCAGCCTTCACAATGTCTACGAAATTTCATGAAAAAGATATATTCAAATCTTGAATTTTACATATAGCAACATGTTAGATAGAATTACCTAATGCTTGCTGTTCAACTTTTTCACCGAGCGCATTGAATGCGGACCACTGTGCATAACCTTCCGGTATAGAATTATGTTCCGGCCATCTACCGCACGCATACTCATAAAAATCGTCGCACGGATTCACAGATTTATTCATATTCGCCAGGATTGTGTCAGCTAAGAAAAGAAGTGACGACAATGATCGATAGTCTAAATTTTTTGGAAATTCTTGGCAGTGATCGCTTAACGAGATATTATTACCCATTTCCTTGCACTTCTCGGAATCGCATATCGCCCGCGTTTCTTCCTTGTTTAATTTCTTTGAATGAAATAACCGTGTCAAATTTATGGGATATCTATGGGCTTTCGACGTGACATCCCTTATTAAAAATGTGCCGACAAAGGCGCTACAAATAGTAAGAATAGCAATTAATGCGTAAGAAATAATTTTAAATTTCAAAATGTAGCTTCTAAAGTATTTATGTATACTTAAAAATTGTCAGAAAAAGATAAAAATCAATAAATGCGTTATAATTATATTATATTATATATATCTAATTATATTATGTAATTCTAATTAATTTCTGATTGCGTTATGAAAAATATCTGTGTATGTCTTATATATTTTCCTAGAATAATTAGATATAAATTAGTTGAGAATAAAAGCGCCTTCGACATCTAAAAATTGATAAAGTTATTACAAGCACATATATTAGTTATTTTATTTCATACACATGCGTTTTATAAAAAACACAATACATATATATATTTCAAAGAGCAATAACGATTTAAAGTAATATAAATTAAATAAATTAATAGTGTAATTATGATTATGTAATTGTAATTTATATAACAAGTTACGTTAAAATTACATACAGAAGAATGAATCGCCTCATGTCGAAATATTTATTGACCAATATGAATATTAGCGTATTAGAATGTTTTGTAACGTTCTCTATCAATATGAAACTTTGCTGTAAAATATGAAAATGCTCAGCTTACTCTTTTATATATTACAGGCAAGGCATTAGATTACGGACATATCTAATTGATAAAGTCGAAGGCCAGAATTGCATCTCTTTTGTTCTGTTGATATAATAAATAATTTGCAAAAATATCTTGCAATAAAAAAATTGGCTTTTCTGGAAAAAACGTTAGTTTTCTTGCTTTTCATTTTTCCTTCTAACCTTTTATTAGTAATGCTGAAGAAGACCACACAAAAGATTATAAAAGATTTTTAAATATACATGTACAAGACACACGTTAAAAAAAATGAAAAATATCTTTCGCAGGTGCAGCTTCCAAAATTTCTACGGAATTTTATTAAAATATATTTGTATCGTGAATTTTGCGTATAGCAATATTAAAATCTATTGATATCCTGAATTTTGCTATATGCAAAATTCAAAATATGAATATATTTTAATATCATAAAATTCCGAAAATAGGCTCCTTGTATTTGCTGTTGAATTTTGCTATTGATTACATCGGTTGCAGACCTGTCTACCAAACCTGTCCTTCTGGAATAGATATACATATATATATATA